CTCTGAACATTCGGCCAAGTCACAGCATTAGCATGTTTACAAACACTGATTTAATGTAAACGAATTTATATATACCTACACTTTATCTCAATAGGTCAAATACAGCATGTAATTTTACCATACTACCCGCTTCGACACAACTCAAACCCGTCGAGTGGTCTACCCTGTAGCAACAATCATAATCATCAACCTCGAACAACAAATCAGCCACGACATTAATCTCATCAAGTCTTCGACGGGCTCTCATCTCCCTGCATTCCCAATCTCAGCTGACCTTATTAGTATCACATCAATACGATACAGATCGTCGCACCGCCTCTTGTGATAAGACCTAGAGACAGTCCAGCCTTTCCTGATTCTCCGAGCCATGACCAAACTGGGACATGCCAAGATGGGCTATTGATCATTCACGGCGGTTCAAGTCTTGAACTAATCATCACCCAGTAACATATAGAATGGAAACGACGATCGACAACACCACCACCATCACCACCGTCGGTAGTTGAGCTGAGCGCGCTTTCAATGCATGGCAGTGTTACTCTAATTGTTTCAACGCAAGGATCGACAGACAGTCAACGGAATTCCTCCCCAAGTCGCACTTGGGGGGAGTCATGGTACCCGATGGCCCTGACTAGCAATTGACCGAGAGATTTCCCATTGAGATGTAATCCAATACATATTGGTATTACCTTATTATCTCACGGTTTTAGCCAACGCATCGTAACAAGGTTACGCTAGGTTCTCGAACCCCCATGGGGGTCGTTTGGGGTATAGTGCGAGGCTTCTTTTCCCCTGACTAGGTAGGTATCCGTAGGTAAGTTAGGTATGGGTGTTGATATGGATACCTATAGAGGCTGATAGTATGTAGTAGTCGTTATTCGAGAGATGTAGTTTAGCTTTGGTTCAGTTTATTACGTTCATGCTATTGGTGTTTAAGACATGGTACGTAAAGTGACTCAGTTGTTGACTGGTTGCCCTTTTCTTCAACCTCGAAATTACTAATATATGCACGTAGATAATGGCCCCTAGGGGATAGATGGAATAGATAGCATCCATGATCCACAACAAATGCATCCAAGACGGTCCTGTCTTGACTAGGCTTATAGTAAAAGACAGATGTCATAGTTGGTAAGTCAACTTACCGTTGCTACCTGCTACCTGTATCTGTATGGACGTACCCAGACATTATCTCGATACCCTAAAATTAGCACTAGAAATATCTGTCGGTCAGTCTTTTTGTCTGTTGTCTCTTGTCCAATGCAGGTACATTTCAGACTAAGCCGTTTAAGCAGGAACTAATTGTGATGCGGATCTCTTCATCCACATTTTGGATCCAGCGTAATATCCCACTGCATACCAATCAGAAGCCCATCAAAACACATCAGTTTAAAGTAAAGACTCCGAGCTGGAACCAGAATGATATGCCGTCCTGCTATAGCTTGGTTGGAGGGAAACCCACGCCCAAGGCACGCGCTGTAATCTTACTCCATACCCGCCGATTTTCCTTCAATCGCGGTCACGATATGGAAAACAATTGAGAAATTAACGGAGCCACAATCTGGTCAGCCCCTTGATTGTGCATGCAGGTCATCCATAATTATTACACACTAGTTATTGTATAGTAGGTAGTATAGTTCCATAGCAAGAGGAGTCTGCGCAAGTAGACTACAGCGCGCAATTCAAAAAGCAAATGTGTTGAAGAATGGCGGACCCTATTACTAACTGCCCATCGTCACGTTCAATTGCAACACCATTCGATAACGGTCTAGACAATGAGTAATGCGGTCGCCCAGTCTCAACATGCATATACATATGTATCTTTGAGGCATAAACAAATTCTTAAATTCTTCCGTCAGTCTAGATCATGTGAAGTATCATGAGCCAAGCGCCCAGAGTCTTGGAAGTAAATAGCCGTGCCAAGCAGCCAAGCACGATTGATGGCCATATCATAGAAAATCGGTAGTCGCCGTCTTGGTATCTCGGATGATCCACGCATCGTCTTGGCTATAGGGAAAAATGCACGTTCGTTTACATGCGTCGCAATCGGAAACCGAGCCGTCCATCTTCATGAAGTAATTGAAAATAGATCGTCTCGAGAAATCCAAGTTTGGATGGGACACGTCGTCAGCCATTGAGGCGCATTCAGTCCTTGGAAATACAGGTGCATCAGCAATCCAAATTCAATGTGACCAGTACTCTTTTTGTGCGACGGAACACATGCATAAGCAGAGAACTGCTGTGACGACAGCTTTCTTGTAGTAAGACAGGTAACAAGCAAGACAAAGAAAACAGACGGGCAAGCCAAGACAATACGCGTAATACCACGCATGGCTGCGCGCAACGCTCACAAGATAGACTATAGCAATCTGTGCCATACTCATAGTGAATAACGACGACCTCCGGTCATACGGAAAGTTGCAATATGCGTGTAGGCAGCGTCGTGCAGCGCAAAAAGAGTGTCGTCGCGTGGCAGACAGGCAGGCACATTTTCTGTTCTCTCTGTTCTCCCCCATGTGTATGCGCACGCCCATCTTGGCCGTATCACAATGTTTGTAGCAGAAACGAAACATCTTGGTGACATCGTGGTTGCGATAGTTCGTTTAACGACCGGAAATATGTTTCATCAACCGGTCACTCTTGAACTTTAGCAATCTTGGCATGTTCGGAGCGATGGGAGGCCGAATTGTCTGGGCACCAGGTATTCTGCATTCTGTAATATCTCAGAAATGGTAAACAGAGATAAAAAGGCATACACTGGTGTTGGGGATAGCTGATGCCTCGCGACTCTGTAAGCCGGGTATTGAACTGACCATGATCCGGGCGCGCAACGCCCTGAAGATTGACGGTCAAGACAGATTCAAGGATACCCACACGCTTGCTTGGCGATATGCTTGGCTTTTACACACGTCCATCCATGTCTTCGGCTCCGTGGTACTGTTAGTCAGTCAGTCACAAGTCTCACTTAGCCTTTGCATCTGTTATGATGGTGTTTCAACATGGATGCAGCGTGGTAATATGCAGACATCCGCTGCAACTTGAGCGATATCATATCCTGCTTTTTTGATCCATACATTGTTTGGAATTGATTGTATGAGTGAATTTGTTGTTGGGATGGGATGCAGGGTCCTCTGGAAAACTCGGATCCGTGCATCCACGATTGCATGGCATGCTCCATTTTCTGCTCTTAACTAGGCTAGCTAAATATTCTATGAAGCCAGCGAGAATGGATTCTTCTCCATCGAATCTCGCGCCAACCTTTGTAGACTCGTGGAGCCTTTCTGAAATGGAGCCTCCTTTTTGACAGACGCATATCCGTACATATGATATGTAAAAGAAAGGTACGGAGCACTATCGGAAACTGACCGCTACAGTCACGTCCATCGTCGATCACTAACGGACTGATCCCGGTCTGCCTCGTACTGTACTGTACAGGACTAGGTATGTATCGATTGACCATGCTCTGTTACGGTCTGAAGAAGGGGCGCGCAGCTATGTGTTATTCAAATCGCGGCAGAGCTTCGATACTACCTTTGCTCTGCGACTTGTCATGAAATATGCGAATATCTCTTGTGCCGACAGGGTCATTGGCCTGTCTCAGGATTATGAGAGAGATGTAGACAGCAATTGCAAGGACCAGTAATTTTAACATGCCTCTCGATATTACTGTAACGTGGACGCCATTCCCGATTGTACCAAAGGCGGACACACCATTGTTGGACATCCGACCGATTCGTTTCAGGCCAGATGTACTGTGGTAGCACTATCTGCCTTGAGGTAACATGCCAGTGCTGTGTCCCCCAGCCGTTGAACAGCTTCTCCAGTCTAATTTCCTTTCGGAGCCCCAGACTCAGAGCAGCACTGACATCATATTCAAAACGCCTAGTGCATTCGCCGATTCGCGATTATACAGGCATCAAGCAGGTGAAGGTGCAATTCGGGAATGACGGCACGGATAGATAGGATACCAAATGTATACGGGGGCAGTCGTGGGGACTGCCATGGGGAGCTGGCTGCTAAGACGATGCATGCGAGAGCCTCATTTGCCGGCGCAAGCCAACAACGAGGCAATTTGGCACTCGCAAGTGATAACAGGTGGGTTACTGGCGAAGCCAACCAAGCGACACGTAAAAAAGAAACCAAGAAAAACCGCGTCTGGAGCCTCTATCTCCTAGCTTGGGGCGCTTAGTGTTTCTCTGCTTTGAGGGAAGTAATGTCCGACGGTGACAGGGCATGGGCTTTCTGCTGAGCACTCGACTCCGTGGAACTTGGGACCTTGGAGACATGGCACGGCCAGTCGCGGCTAGTAAGTGAACTAAGTTTATTGCTAGTGGAAGGGAAAAGAAGTGGATATCAGGAACGAGCGTTCAAAGTAGTGGAGCATTGGTGCGAGAGCACCGTGCCAGTTTTCCACCAGACCAGAGTTATCGGTCCTACCTAGCCACGTCGCCGCCTCCGGTGAGGCTTCGATAGCAGTCTATGCTATCATATGCTGAATATACCCAGCTCTCTTGGACCACGGCAGCCGCAACTTCCATGGGAATATGCCTTGTCATCATATGAACCCTGACATTGTACGGTGTAGTTGAGAGCAAAGCGCAATCTGTATCGTGAAGCTACTCAGACAGCGTGGGATGTTCTTCGATGCTAGCCAATGGTACAACAGCGGCTCCATGAGTGCCGAAGGTCTCGTGCAAGCCAAAATCGTTTGGATCGGTACAAGCGGGTCTTCTAATGCAGGCTGGAGGAAATCCCTGCATTTCTTTTGGGGTTGTTGGGGTTTGGATTTGGAGAACAAGCCATTCTTTCAAGGTCATCTCAAAGACAAGAAACATGTGTGAGACATGCAGAGCAACATAGGCCGTCATGAACAGATTCAGACTTTGACGGAGCAATTCCAATATACCAAATTATCTCAGCGACAGTGAAATATGTGTATCATGCTGGACCTACTCCGTTATTCTTCAATTTCAATTTATCCATGGCTTGATTGATAGGCCAACTCATACTCGAAAGAGCTCTGTCAGTGGAGTTGAAATGACAATGGCATGGTATTGGCCTTTACTATCGATACTCAGGAGTCTGTTGTTTTCCTATGTGTCAAATATGACAGATCAAGACATAAAGCGGTGCAGGGTCATAGAGTGAGTAGGACGTCCATGCTTTCAGAGTCGTACCCCAGACTATCATGGCGGAGTGAGTTTCCGTACGTGTGTACGAATAAAGCTGGAGCGGAGGCTGGGAGTCCAAGTCAGCACAGCGTATCCGTAGCTGAGGTAGCACCGTGATTGCTCCATATGCCCGTACGTAGGTCCCTGAATCGACTAAGCAGAAAGCTTGGCTGTTCAAGGAAGCATCTCTCCGCAATCGTGCACTGTTGCCAAGGGAACTGGGGTGAAAGTCGAAGCAATATTGTTGATAGCGCGGTTGGATTATGTCTGAGGTAGGTATGAAGAAGAGTGAGGCGAGTGAAAGAAAATATGAGAGCCAATGCCACAGATTGTCTCCCGCGGGATGGAAGACGCTTTGTGCTAGAGGGAGGAACTGGAGAGTACAACTCACGATGTGGAAGATGCAGCCAATAGAATGGTGTTGATACATACTTCCAGATTCGACATTAAGCTCCCGTCATCAATATCCCGCATGCTACCTACTAAGGTAGGTCGGGAGGAAATCAGCGCCAGTCTAATAATAAGCTCATTGGTATTACCCGTAAATGGCTAATCTCAATGCATTGAGTCAACAAGTGAATGGCTACCTAGTTTAGATGGCTCTGGACTCCTGGAGCGCCTGACGGGAATATCCAGCAGAGTGAGCGATATAGCAGTGCAGTAGAAGAGTCTGGGTCGAGTCTATTTGCTTGGTACAGTTTCATGGTTGTCAATTCCCTCATCCGATCAAGTGGCCAATTGTGCTGTAGACAAATTTCAGGAAGTCCACCAACCTCCTAGACTGAACGCCTCCCGGGCAACCCCGGATCCGCCCAGGACCGGGCAAAGATGGGGAAGATGCACGAATATGCAGTCAAGAAATGCCTCGTTACTTGGCGTCAACCGTGAAAGGGGATTGGGTAGAGTTCGATTCAATGCGACATGATGAGACAGGCCGGGTCCTTCTGGAAGCACATAGCTACAGAAGGCAGTAATAACAGCAAAAACAACATACATACATACAGTCAGCTAGTCAGTCACACAAGCAGGGCGCATAATGCAAATATTTCAGAAAGTTACATCTAACCTGAACTGGCTTGTCGGCGGTTTAGTGGGAACAACGGATTAGAAACTGTCTAGTGCTGAATTCAATATCCCCGTTTGTAATACCGGCTGTCTCCCGTTGCGCTGAAACTGTAGATGCACAGTACATGGATACAACATAGTAGTATCGTGATAAGATGTAGGGTAATGGATGTGTCAAATAAAAAAGTGGCGGCATATTGAAACAACAAGGTAGGCATCGGATATTAATTCAGTAACGATAAACTCTTACTACATACTACAGTACATGCACATGAACAAGAGATGAGGCTTACGGTACGTTAGTAGTGACCGCTTCTTGGAGAACCCTGTAATACGGAGAAAGCTTTGGCTGTGATGCTGAACCTGGAATGAACAGGAGGTCCAAAGAGAAATAGTAACAGCAGCAGCAACAGCCAGAACGGAGCGCGGCAAATAGTGCGGTGAAGGGACTCTCTGGAGAACATACAGACCCGCCATCAGCGATTCAAGATATCCCAAGCTTGACAAGTTCATGACCAGAAAAGGACTTACCGAGCCCCCGTCTTCGGTAGTCAATGGCCCAGTTGGGATTGACCGAAAGAGTGGCTGGTAAAAGACTGTACACCGCGAGTTGTCCGTGGGGACTCACCAGTAGACACACCGAGGCAACGGCGCCAATGAAAGCCGAAGCCGACCAATGTGAGGTGGCCATTGGTTTTGCTGGAGAACGGAAATCGCGGACAAGAACCGCCGACTCTGATAAAGTGTCAAAAAGCCGCGGAAGAAAGCGAACCTAAGCGACCATGACCATCATGTCCCCCAGTTTAAACAGGCCCCCCCACATCAAACCCGATGGAGAGTGGATGTGACAAGGTGACCCAGAAAAACAATCCACGCAAAAGGGCAAGAGGCTGACATGAAATGCGACTTGGATTAGGCCATGCCAGACACAAGTACCGTGTGTTATTGGCCACCAACTGTCTCACCTTTGTTCATTTAGGCGTTTGACTCTGTTTCGTTGAGCTAAAGTGAGAAAGATATTCCAATGACGTATAGAGTCCGGATGTTTATTGGCGACTCTGGGGCGCGACCTGGGGTGCCCTGAAGCTGACGGGGTTTGCAGGGTCCTCTTTTTCTTTTTCGCTTTTTTGTCGCTACAAGCTCGAAAGCGAGCGACAAGGAAAACACGGACCTGGAAACTTGCTTGGCTGCTTGCCGAGGGGGCGACAAGACTTTTTCCCCGATCGCTGGCAGCGGAGGCCAAGTCCCACGAAGTCATAGGCTTGAATTGGTATTGGATGAACAGTTGCAGATTGAGGAGGGTCAGCATAGAAACACCGGCTTCTAGAAAAATTCCTAGAAGCGCGGCTGCTGCACCATGATCCATAATTTTATGCACACCTGCATGAGAGAACAACCAGCTGCGAAGCTCCCAAATAATACCTCACATGGCCAAGCCTGACAGAAACAATCGACCCCAACCCTGCACCGCGGGGGTTCATTGGCATCGTGGTATTTGTGTCAAGCATTTTTGATGTGCGCATTTTTGTACGCTAACGCTTGGCAGGGCTCGGTCGTTGGGACAGGGCTTGGAGACAGAGGCTAGGCTGCCGTTTTGGCTGGAGATCCATGGGTGGCTTGTCTAACGTAAAGCAAAGTAAGGTAATCAAGTAAAGTTCACCAGCGTCGTGCGAACTGTCACCCCAATCTCAATTCCAGCCTATCGTCTCGCCTCGTCTCGCCTCGCCCGCGTTCACCCGCACGATAGATCGAGGACGCTAGCTACTGCGCTGCAATAGCGGCGCTTCATGCGCGTGTATTGCACTGTACTGTACGAGATAGCTCATTTACAGAGCACCAGTGTGAACCTCATCTCCTCGGTGTCGTTTACAGACAGGCCCAGGTCAGCCAAGCCGATCCAGCCCAGGCGAGGCCCTGCAGAAGCTCACCCATGTCGTGAATCAGACCGTATGTGTGTATCTCGCATTGTAATAACATGCACTGTACTGCACCCTAGCCTTCGAGACCGGGCTGCCAAGGCTGGCAGAGCTTCACCAGCTAACCAGCTGCCGATAACGCGATAGGCAGGCCATGGCTGTCACGGTCATCCAGCGGTCACAGTTTGCGTTTGCGCCTTGGCGAACGATGGATGCCGGACGATGTCCTTACTTGATATGAACCTGGAACTGTTCCGTCATAACAGGCCATTGCGCGACTGGGAGCGCAGCGCGCTCTCCTCTTGATTCTCTTGGCCCTGCATGACCAAAAAGCTTGTCGCACACGATACGTGCGATTGCCTGTCATAGAATGGCAACTATCATGACCACCTATCGAAGCACGGCGATCCCGTTCTCGGCCCTGCCTTGACTTAGACCCTTTTATGAAAGGAGGGTACAACTTGAAAATAACCTCATGATTCCTCGTGTCAGCGCCAACCCAACAAGACCTTGGATGATTGATAGGCCAAATACGAGCGAATCTAGATCGAGTATGATAATGATGCAGAGTAACCGACAAGCATAATCGTCATCGAGTGGGATCTGTGAAGCTGTCTATTGGAGATTGTCAGACAACGGTCCCAGTCTGGTCTGTTCCGAGGCCGATCGCGTGGGGCAGGTCTCAAATATGCTGCAATTAGAGTAGAGTATGGTTAATATGTATGCACTTTATTGCGTGTTTCCTGTACAGACTGGACGGCTTTTAATGTCACATCTCCAGCGCGCTTCGTTATTTACTACTACCTGTTTCAAAAGTGGAAATTGGGAAATTGAACAACATGCTTGGTGCGCAAATCGCAACGTGTATCGATTCTACGCCGTTCACACGAGTAAATAACTGGGATAAAATTTGATCATCTATGCCCCTAATGCAATGCGATTGTACAATTCAAGGAAGTACTGTGCAGCACGAGGCAGTTATGAATGCTCACCGAGTCATGGTACAGCATCACGCATCAACAACACCTTGATCACAGTGTACAGTCCCAAAGGTAACCTCAATGGATAGGTAAAATAATTAAGGGTCTTCAGTCAGCAGCTCAAAAACAAGGCTGGCGAGATACAGTATCTTTTACATAAACGGCAATCCGTTCTTTGGCCTATCGTTCAACAAGCGGAGCCCATGATTGCCATCCTTCTCCAGTATCTTGAGTCGCGATTTTGCTGACCGCCAGGGATAGACAAGTCAGTGTCGTCATCCTTTCCTGGACAGTAGTTTACAGTACACAGCGGAGCGGGAAAAAGAAGCAGCCTAGAGCACATGGGGGAGGGGAGGAAGTTCTCTCATGGAGGAAAATCCCTCAGCGGGTTTGGGGAAGCTCGACTCCAGGTACAACCACAGCCAGCAATGACATACAATAGAGGTACCGGGGCCCCCAGCGAAGAGGAAGCGCCACAAGACACCAAAAGGCTTTGTACTCTGTAGGTTCATACGCTGTCAAGCAGGGGCTGGGAACTGTATCCGTACATATTCTGGTACAATGTATCATGAGGCAAAATCTGGCAGTGAGGCAATACCAAACAATCAAGGGACCGAGACTGATGTGCATCCCATTGTAAAACGGGGGTCTTGTCTTGAATGGGATTTAGTATCTGCTACACAGTGTTTTACAGTTTTTTGAGTATAATAAGACGCTGCTGACTTTTTGTTAGAGCGCATAATATGCAGAGAAAATACGGAAGTTTGGATAATGGAAAGTAAAATTACTCGCTCCGTGGTGGAAACTTTTTTTGGTGTAAATGCTAAGATCAGGGAGTACAATCCGCGGACATTCCCCTAACCCATGTAGCATCGAACCTATTGCTTGATGTATTTGGAAATGTTCTCCATGTATCAAATTGCATCAAGATCGAGGCAAATCGCCTCTATCATGTACGACATGGATTAATTCGTGATTGTTTTGTATCATTTGGTAGTCGTCATTGTCAGCTATCAGCTGTCAGCCACGAGCAGGCAGTTTGAGGTATGAGAGACAAAGGCAACCAATTGCAGTAGCCTAATTGATTCATGCCTTGAATTGACTTTTTTCAGATTTCTCATCTTAGTCTTCCATCTTTAATGTTTACATTTTATGTTATGCCCCCCTTGTGCTGTATCTCCAGGACAATTTTAGATTTCGAGTCTACATCTGAGTCTAGTGTAGCTGCAGGTTGGCCCTCTCAATCTCTTTTTTCACCCTCTGTCACTGCACTTGCGATGCAATGCTCAACCCTTTTGCACCTCCACTGCTGAGATTACCGTCTTGTTTCCATTCCCCACGCTCGGCGCCGCCACACACTGTGCTCTGCACCTGCATGGAAGGACCTAGGCTGGACCGAGGAAAAGCTCGACAAGAGAAAGGCTGTCTTTACTGGACAAGGATAAGGGCAGGTCGATTTCGATGGGGCATCAGCGACCGACGTTTCGTAATTCCACACCCTAGCACACGGACTTTCCCCAATTGACACACCCCAGCAAAAAAAATTGTAGTTGCGACTGAGGAAAAAACATCGATTCTGACGAGAGAACGAGAGAAAAAAATCGATCCAACCGACGCTACCGGGTACGGCAAGGGTAGCTTCTACGCTGGCGTGCTAGCTGGTGCAGACGCTACGCACTCTTTTGTCTTTAGTCTCTTGGTGGATGCTGATGCTACGGTAATGTACTGCGTTGTTTACTGCTATACTAGTATGAGGTTGATTGTTGATCTGCAATGTTGTTGTACTTGTGATTGTGCTTGTGGTTTGGTTGTTACGGGCTACGCTACCTATGGTTTGTATCTCGTACCCATCTCCCATTGACTTTTACATCGTGATGGGAGTGATGATGTTTCGGCGTCCATATATGCATAAGCCAGACGAGTTAAAGTATGATAGAACGTAACCACAGCATTGAGCTTAGGTTTCTTCATCTACATGCGATATCTACGTTTAGGGTAGAGTTGGTTTATAGCACTATCACGTCGCACCTTACTTTCCCCAAGCCAATAACACGAGAAGACTAGGGTAGGTGAGGGTGTAGCTAAACTGTAAAGAGGGTGTGATGAAGTTTCCTTCCTTTGTCAAAGTCTGTTGTAGATACGTAGCTGCTCTCTGCCAGTCTCGAGTCGTGTCGTGCGGACATTAATCGGCAACATAGAAACTGGGAGAAGAAGGAGAGAAAATTGAGCGCATAATGGGGCAGGCAAGTGGCACTGGCATATGGCAAATCAATTGCAGTACTGGTCAACAACAAAGGTACAATTATTACAGACAGATTCTATACGGAGGGATTCGACTGGACTGGACTGGACTGAACTGGGGCTGGGTCGGCAGGGCCGTGAGAGGTTGGTACAATTCGTACAGTGAGAGAAAAAAGCGGTTGTTTGTTGCTAGCTTGTATCTCAAGGGCCTTCCGGTCGTACCTGGAGACGGCATGGAGCTCATAACCTGGGGCATATTGGGATTCGCGAGGGACCATGCCAGGAACCTGCGTGAGACTCGTGGGAAGTGACTGATGGGCCCCATCCTAATCCACCCGTCCCGGCTTGGAAAGACCCATCCAATTCTTTGCGCGGTGGAGCTCTGCGTCGCCGTAGGACCCGTTTGATAGACCCCGGTCCATTTTGTTCTGTCTCTTGTGAAGGGGGGGGGCCACAAAAGACAGAGGTCAGCGAGTAGGGGCGCCCATGCGGCAAAGTGAGAGACAATCAGTCTTGGAGAAATATGCAGGCATTGAGTGTGGGACCCACTTCATGACCGGGTCTCCATCATTTTGATCAGGGCCGAAGTCTGTTGGCAGGGGTATGCGAGAGCGTGGGCCGGCAAGCTCGCCGGGAAAGAACCAAGCTCACGCATCTTTCTCTGAATTCAAAAAGAAGCTCTCGCCCGACCTCAACTCTCTTTCTTCTTTCCTTTCCTCTTCACCCACGAATGCTTCATACATAAGCGTCCCTAACTTCGTGCGGTGCTTAGACACTTTCTTCCTTTTTTCCTCCCCCCCAAAAATCTTGTTCCTCTGTTTCTCTCATCAACAGAAAACAGCAGCACCCAACCTCAGCTATTATTCTCTCAATACCTGCTGCATACCTATAGCCGCGTTCTTCAATACCTAAGAATCGACATTCTCTTTTAACGTCACCTACCATGGCCGAAGAGAAGGCAGTCGGCGCGCCTGCGCTCGACACCAACATCGAGACTGGCGGCTTCGATGAGAAGCGAGGACAAGCTCCCGCTACCCACAACCCCAAGGCTCCCGTCGCCGAGGATGAGGAGCCCGATGAGGACATGGACGCCCTGATCGAGGACCTCGAGTCCGAGGACGGCCACGAGATCGACGACGAAGAGGAGGCCACTCCCGGTGGTGGACGTGTCGTCCCTGAAGACCAGCTCCAGACTGACTCTCGTGTCGGTTTAACTGAAGCAGAGGTTATCGCACGCAGAAAGAAGTGGGGCCTCAACGCAATGAAAGAAGAAAGAGAGAACATGATTCTCAAGTTCCTCATGTTCTTCGTTGGCCCAATTCAGTTTGTGATGGTCAGTTTATTTCTTTACTGTTGTGCTCCCCCCCGCCCATTCCAAATGTCTTTTCAGATTCGATTTTCGTTGAGTTTTGAGGCTCTGGCGATTTGACGTCTGAACAAGCGCAGCCCCACCTTTTCAACACCACCATGTCTTATAAGAAATATCGTGTCTTCACTCACTAACACCTCATATAGGAAGCTGCCGCTGTTTTGGCTGCTGGACTTGAGGACTGGATCGACTTTGGCGTTATCTGCGCTCTCTTGCTTCTTAACGCTTGTGTTGGATTTATTCAGGAGTATCAAGGTCAGTTTCTCACCCTCAACGTGTAAATGATGGTCACCACATCATCCTCACTATACATGATATCGTTTCGGTCCATACTAACTCACATATAGCTGGCAGTATCGTGGAAGAGCTGAAGAAGACTCTTGCTCTCAAGGCTGTTGTCCTCCGTGACGGTACTCTCAAGGAGATCGAGGCCCCTGAGGTCGTTCCCGGTGATATCCTTCAAGTTGAGGAAGGTACTATCATTCCTGCTGATGGTCGTTTCGTCACCGAGGGCTGCTTCTGCCAGGTTGATCAGTCTGCCATCACCGGAGAGTCTCTCGCCGTCGACAAGCACCACGGTGACAACTGTTACGCTTCTTCCGCTGTCAAGCGTGGTGAGGCTTTCGTTATCGTTACTGCCACTGGTGACAACACCTTCGTCGGCCGTGCCGCTGCTCTCGTCTCTCAGTCTGCTGGTGGCACTGGTCACTTCACTGAGGTTCTCAACGGAATTGGTAAGTTTTCGAACGCGATTTTTTCAGATCACCAAGCTGACAATTTAAAGGAACCATTTTACTTGTTCTTGTTGTTGCCACTCTCTTGATCGTTTGGGTCTCTTCCTTCTACAGATCTAACGGCATCGTTGACATCCTCCGTTTCACTCTTGCCATTACCATTGTCGGTGTCCCTGTCGGTCTTCCCGCTGTCGTCACTACCACCATGGCTGTCGGTGCCGCCTACCTCGCCAAGAAGCAGGCCATCGTCCAGAAGCTCTCCGCCATCGAGTCCCTTGCTGGTGTTGAGATTCTCTGCTCTGACAAGACCGGTACTTTGACCAAGAACAAGCTTTCTCTCGCTGAGCCTTTCTGTGTTGCTGGTGTTGAGCCCGATGACCTGATGCTTACTGCTTGTTTGGCTGCTTCCCGCAAGAAGAAAGGTATTGATGCTATCGACAAGGCTTTCCTCAAGGCTCTCAAGTTCTACCCCCGCGCCAAGGGTGTTCTGTCCAAGTACAAGGTTCTTGACTTCCACCCCTTCGACCCCGTCTCCAAGAAGGTCCAGGCTGTTGTCGAGTCCCCCCAGGGCGAGCGTATCATCTGTGTCAAGGGTGCCCCACTTTTCGTGTTGAAGACCGTTGAGGAGGACCACCCAATCCCTGAGGAAGTTGACTCTGCCTACAAGAACTGTGTCGCGGAATTCGCAACTCGTGGCTTCCGATCTCTTGGTGTTGCTCGCAAGCGAGGTGAGGGTGCTTGGGAGATTCTCGGAATCATGCCTTGCTCTGACCCTCCTCGCCACGACACTGCCCGCACTATCAACGAGGCCAAGCGCCTTGGTCTCTCCATCAAGATGCTTACTGGTGACGCCGTCGGTATTGCCCGTGAGACTTCTCGTCAGCTCGGTCTCGGTACCAACGTCTACAACGCTGAGCGCCTCGGTCTTGGTGGTGGTGGTGATATGCCCGGTTCTGAGGTTTACGATTTCGTTGAGGCTGCCGATGGTTTCGCTGAGGTCTTCCCCCAGCACAAGTACAACGTCGTCGAGATTCTCCAGCAGCGTGGTTACCTTGTTGCTATGACTGGTGATGGTGTCAACGATGCTCCCTCTCTGAAGAAGGCTGATACCGGCATTGCTGTCGAGGGTGCCTCCGATGCCGCCCGATCTGCCTCCGATATCGTCTTCCTTGCTCCTGGCTTAGGGGCGATAATTGACGCCCTAAAAACTAGTCGCCAGATCTTCCATCGTAAGTTATATCACTGTAGCTGCATTATCATTGCTAACATACTCAGGAATGTACGCCTACGTTGTCTACCGTATCGCTCTCTCTCTGCACATGGAGATTTTCCTTGGTCTCTGGATCGCCATCCTCAACCGATCTCTCAACATTGAGCTCGTTGTCTTCATTGCCATCTTCGCCGATATTGCCACCCTCGCTATCGCCTACGACAACGCTCCCTTCTCCCAGACTCCTGTCAAGTGGAACCTCCCTAAGCTCTGGGGTATGTCTGTTCTTCTCGGTGTTGTCCTGGCTGTTGGTACCTGGATCGCTCTTACCACCATGTACGCCAACTCTGAGGATGGTGGTATCGTCCAGAACTTCGGTAAGATCGACGAGGTTCTCTTCCTCGAGATCTCTCTTACTGAGAACTGGCTGATCTTCATCACCCGTGCCAACGGTCCCTTCTGGTCTTCCATTCCCTCTTGGCAGCTTTCCGGCGCCATCCTGGTCGTCGATATCCTCGCCACCCTCTTCTGTATCTTCGGTTGGTTCGTTGGTGGCCAGACCAGCATTGTCGCTGTTGTCCGTATCTGGATCTTCTCTTTCGGTGTCTTCTGTGTCATGGGTGGTCTGTACTACTTCATGCAGGGCAGCACTGGCTTCGACAACCTCATGCACGGAAAGTCTCCCAAGCAGAACCAGAAGCAGCGATCCCTCGAGGATTTCGTTGTCTCTCTTCAGCGTGTCTCTACCCAGCACGAGAAGTCTCAGTAAACAGATGGTATATACCCGGACCACCATCGACCGGACTTTCACTTTCGCTACGTCCAAATTTGACCTGTAATACTCACACCCGAGTACTGAGACTCCTGGAGTAGTTGAGGAATCTTTCATACCCCTAGATCGTCTATTAGACACTTAATAATACAAAGTAAAATAAATAATTTGCACCAATACCTTATCGTGATCGTCTAAGTCTGAATTACAATTCCAATCGCCTGTCTGTATGACGGACTGTTGAATCACGTGACATACAAGCATTCAATCATTCTTCGTATCAAACCTCACCTTTTCTCTGCATGTGACATCTATTCTAACTTCAGCAATGTCTCCTTCTTGACCTGACATGTGTTGACTTCTCAAACCCTTAACTCATTTCACTAGAATCTATCTTCAAGTAACAATCCAGTCACAGGTGTTGGAAGTTATCGTCTTCCACGTCACTAACATGAATCGTGAAATTCCTGGCTATTATTTCGGTGCGTTGCTGCAGTTTCGACTGAAAAAACCTGTAGGCGATTAACTCTTAGATAGACGAAGAGAAAAAGAAGTACTTTAAAATCGAGAAAACACAGACAGCGCCATCGTCAGCTGCATGGTCCTCAGACGCTGTCAAACGACGTAAGGTTGAGAAGAAAACCCAGAAAGCTGCCCAACGCCGGGCACATCTAGTAAGAAATCACATTAAACGCCACTTTCTTGCCCAAGATGCAGTTGCCTCTGCTCTTCTTGCTCGGGAGGTTGGCGTACCACATGCCGCAGAGCGTGGCCGCGGTAGATTAGAAGATGGAGAGCTTGGTGCTGCGATCTGGGCAGGTGGTTTGGTAGCCAAAGGCAATGTTCCCTTTGCACCGAGCTTTGCAAGACAGCGATATCCGAACATGCCATGCTTTTATGTCTCCAGTGAAGACGAAAAGACGGGCTTGGGTGTTGCATATGCTAGTAAGTTTGGGTGTCAATACAACATGTTGTCTGAATGGTAGCTGACTTAGCGTAAAGCTTTAGACGAGGAAACTCTGGTAGGGAGCTATGTTCCCACAGACAAGAATGATTCGTAAGTATCAACTTCCCCTGAACTACAATGCTTGCTAATCTGATCCAGAATTTGCTACTCCCAGGAAGACACTAGATCTTCTGGCAGGGCCCTGTCATTCCGGAACGAGATAGTACGATGCCCTCAGATGTCGTCCATCAAGTACCATCGGCCCTCACACAAGATGCTCTTGACCTCTCGTGAGCCGGATCATAGCTGTGGCCTTTACTTATTTTCACCACTGCTGTCAGACCCTGAGGATGTGACTTGCCCACAGTGGCTTCTTGGTGAAAGTACGCTTCGACTCTCCCCGATTGCTATAAGGACTTTACTGACTAGGTATAGCAAATCATTATCAAAGGCTATCAGTTCGTCATGGATTGCACGATGAATGGATGGTCCACAGCAGCACACCAGCTCCTCCCTCCTCAGACCTTGTCTGCGTCCTTGGCTCCAACAACGGTTTGCTGCAAGTACGCTCAAACGCTACCCTTTCGGCCATTGCACCAAGAATTGCCCCGAAGGACATGAAACGTCCACAAGAGATATTTACACAAGATTTCCAAGAGGGGAATCACAATGTCTTGCTTGCTGGTGGCCGACAACCCAGGCTTTGGGTAACAGACCTTCGTGCTCCAGAGCAACAGTGGTCTTTTGCTAAACATGCAAGTTCCATCACGCATATAAAGAGCGTCAATCCGCATCAGGTTCTCGTGTCAGGATTACAGAGTTCAATGGCTCTCTATGATGTACGATTTCTTTCGCGAAATCCCCGCGGAACGAAACCACTTTTACACTTCTCAGGCCATCGTAACGAGGCACACATCAACATTGGCTGGGATGTATGCCCAGAGTTGAATACAGTAGCTGCAGCACAAGACAACGGGACTGTGAAGCTATTTTCATTAAGGTCAGGACGGCAGCTGAAATGCACAGCGGTCGACTGCATACACACCGATGCGCCGATCAAAGCCCTCATGTTCCAGAAGATGCCCCGAGAGAGGATTCCAAGCCTGTTTGTTGGAGAGGGTTCGTCACTGAGCAAGTTCTCGTTTGGAGTGGTGGAATGGGAGAATGAAGCTTGACCGAGTTTGCCACGTACGTGGTCTATCAGTCTCATTTATCACGATTAACTACTCGGCATATATATTATTGTCCAACTCGGAAGGCAACTTTGATCTTGAAAAGCCTTGTACGTCAGTTCGTTTTCTCTACCTAGCAAACCAAGAACGGCAAACATTGGTGTGTTTGTCATCAAGGGTTTCTTCGGGGAAGAACAAATCAATCGAAGAAGCAAGCAGAACTATGCTAGCATAGTGGCCTTGACAAAAAAATTAGAAAAGCGATTTACACAGGGGATAAATACCTGGGTAAGCCGGGTGTTCAAGTGTGTTTGCAAGAGGCTTGTTAGGTAGGACGCCGACTTCAGGTGTGGATTTTCATAAAAAAACTGATGATATCTCTTGAAGCATATTGGCAATCACGAATTCCGACCTTATTTGTTTGGAAAACTCCACGAGACGAATACGACGGCTCTCTCGAGGCACAATAACAATGGCTGCAGTGATTGAACTAGGTGTACCAAACTCCTTCGGGGGCGAACGAAGCTATTGCTAATGTATCAATGGTATCGTTTGCTAAATAAACCCCCAGAAACAAGGCAGATTGGGTGATGGCAAGCTCTTTTTGGATATCTCACGGCGAATCATGCTACGGTGAAGGAATTTCGTGTTCTCAACTACAAAATCTGCCACTGCCTACGCGGAAACTTCCTGACTCCCTCACCAGTTTACTCGTTCATATGAACCTACTTACCTTTCCCGTCAATAGGCACTTTCATGGACCACTCTATCATTCTCACTAAGCGACTCTGCCCTTGTATTGCGTTTTGTATCTGTCTGTCCCACTGGCTTTGCGTGAGATACTGCAACGGCAGTGTTTACACCTGTCAACTCTTGCATATCCGGCATTGCCTCTGGCACTGGCGCACCTGTTTTGACTACGCCTTCGTTCCGCCTCTCTTGAAAGAATAAGCAATCATTATCCACGTATTGAATTTTTCTGCCAGCATCCAACATACGCAACCTGTCACGCGTGGTCAAGTGGGATAAATTCATGTTGGAAAGTACACCGGATTCTAAAGAAATGAACATGCAAGAAGACTCAGATTACGAATATGAAAGGAAATATTCGTACCCATCACCGGAAGAGGCGATGAAGCCTTACGTCTGGGAGGGGTGGCAGACCTACGACCACGAAGAGTCCGAGGATTCTAACCATCAAAGTGCGGACCCAACCCTTGTAGAGCCTCGTGATGAGGCCTATGAGGCTGAGGAGGATCCTTTACTTGAAGGTGATCCCAACGATGATGGAGATCCCCCCTCTGAGGCAACGGAGGAGACCAACAATGGCTTTTTTGATCTCGAGTCCATATTTCAGAGAATGGACCAGATTGGCCTAGAGGGAATCGACAAATTGCACCAACTTGATCACGACGAAGCGATCAGGCAGCTTGTCTCTGACATCGTGTCGCCAATCGAGGGGGACGCACTGTTTATGAGTGCTGAGAGGATAGAGGCCGCTCTCAAGCATGTACCTGAAAATCAGGAATTAGGTAAGTACCTCTTGGGTCAATCATTCTGTCTGGGCCGGGAAGGCTGATGAGTTAATGTAGAGAATGCCATCGCGAGCGACCCTGAGATCCTACAATCTATTGAACGTTATAGGAAACATTTTGGCGATGTCCTGTGCAATATGACCGAGCTAATGCTGGCCGCCGGGCCACGCAACAATGTTCCCGTTGATGTCCAGGGGTGGCTTTTACTACTGATCGCCAATGCATCAAGGGATTGCCGAGACCGAATTACGACAGCGCTCACAAACACTTCGATCAATCCGGCGTGCATACAATACGCAAGCGGCCAAAAATCTTGGGGACCAGATATGTTAGACACAGCGCCAAAAATTGACCTTGAAGACCCCAGCGCCTGTGGTGATGCCGTCACCGCCTACTTGATAATATGCCATCTTTCAAAACGGAAACATTACGCATATTCTGGCAGCGCTACCAACACAAGCGCCGAACTGAAAGAAATTGGCGAAACTCTGAGAATGAAGGTGCATTCTCGCATCTTGGCATTGGGTCATGAAGAGGTCTGCCGCCGCCGACGCGTTGACGACTCGAGGGTTTTCAAAGTGCATGAGCATTTGTCGGCAGCAGGTTACCAGGGCTATTCGTTTTTCCCGGCGGTGAGAATACCTGTGGACTTGAACGACCCTAACCACCTGATCTCAGCAACGTTGGTGCTCATCGCAGAGGTTGTGAACATGGTGCTTTTTGACACATGTTCGTCTGACCCTGTTCCCCGTATAGGGCGCACTATGGTATTCATAGATCAGACGCACAAGCTCATGAAGCGATTACGTCCCAAGGACTGCCCTGTGGCTCCGTGGGAGGGGATGAACCGTGTCATCCCCCTCCAGATGCCCAAGGCAGTCTGGGGGCTGCTTCGGCAGGCACACCAACGTGCGCCCATGCCCCAATTGATGAGTCAACTACGAACACACTTTGAGGAAACGCGAAGTCTGTCACTTGGCCGATCTCTATGCATAGAGATGTTGAAAAGTGTCAACTGACCGTCAGATCGGAAAGATGTGTGTACCCTGAAAAGGCTGTATGCCACTATCCTCAACGAGAATGGGTTAACATACAAAAACGCGTATCAGGAATTCTTATACATGCGCTGTGTTCTTTGGCACTCCATGATTGTAGTCGCCGAAAAGGGGCTTGTATCGTTCCAAGATGGTAAATACCATCTAGAGATTGGTGCTCTGGATTGGGTCGAAGTGTCTAGGGTTGCACGGAGCATCACTCCTGATGTTTTGGCTTAGAATTTCTCAAGGGAGAAATGCATTGAATTGTACCGCGACAGTGCAAGCGCCTACTTTAACCAACAAGTGTTATTCCCAATGATATGGGACACACTCCGAGGTAAGTCATGCCGAGAATCAGTGTTTCCGGGACACTCTTGCGAAGCTATTGTATTAACAGGTATTTTAGATGGAGTTCCCACAAAATATGCTTATTCAAAAGCAAGACATTATTTGCCACCGCCCATCCGAACCAGGATCCAAGATATTTGCAAGTACATGCTGATACAAAACAACAATTCCATTGTCCGCAGTGAGACAGTCGTGAGAACGAGTGAAAAGCACGTAGTCTCAATCGAAAACCTCCAGAAACGTGTGCTTAAACAACTTGAGAAAGATGTCAGCCTTTCCACGCGCGTGAAGGTTCGAGAAGGAATATGGGAAGACATGGCATTCCTTGAGTACGTTGCGGATCACGTCCGTTTCACGCACAGAGAACTGCAAGAGGGTATCTCCCCCGAAGAAGCCAAGAACTGGGGGAACCTGGAGGCGCTTCAGCCATCGTGGGCACTCAAAAGTGCGCAAGGCCCTAACGTTGAGTATCTTCCTGAGTCTGTCATTGTCAACGCACTGGACCCCATGTTACTACCGGCCCTCCCAGACACACCAAGATATGTCATTGAGCAGATGAACTTTCTCCAAGACAAGCAAGCAGAATTTGAACCCTTATCTAACTCCGAAAATCGCCTAGGGCCAAGATCAAAGACCAGGCCAGGAGGTACAGCTGAGCCTTTTGATTTGGGGGATGGCCGCGGGATCGCACTCAGTACGAGGGTATTCTCGATGGAGACTGAGGAGGATACTTCAGGAGTTGGGCAGACGGCATCCGGTTCAGGTATTTGTGATAGTTGTGGTATTTACCACAATGATCTGCCGACACATGTACCTCAATGTTATGGCAGATGTCTGGAGTGCAACCAAGATGCACAGGCCTGTATCCGAGGGGCCGAGGATCCTATTCAATGCCTCCCTTGCTTATCAAAGGGCAGCAAGTGTTCGGGTGTCTCCACGAGAAGTAACGTCGACCCTGAAGAAACCGAAGCCAACTGCCCGAGATGCTGGGGGTCCTTCGTGCTCTCAAATCTGGCGAACCATGTATCGTCTTGTAAAGGCCGATGCAGCAGTTGTGCCGAAGCAAATTTGCCTTGTATTCGCCTCCCCCATGACAACCAGCAGTGCCACAATTGCCAGAATGCAGGCCAGGAATGCTTATCATTTTCGCACGATCACCTGTTTCCTGAAGCTATACCGAAAACTTGCGACAAATGTTTGGGTCCCTCAACATCCGAATTCCATAAGTATGAGTGTGTGGGCCAGTGCCGACCCTGTTTCGATGCCCAAATTCCTTGCATACGCTTAGCGAGATTTCCTGCAAAATGCGATCATTGCAAGGAACAGGGGCTGGATTGCGGCGAGTTCACGCACGAGGAAAATCGGCGAAGGAAAAAGAAGGTCTCCTGTCCCTTATGCCTACGCGACGACGTATATGCCAACCATCAGAAAACCTGTAAAGGTAGATGCCAAGGTTGTGTCCGCGCTGATATGCCCTGCGTCCGAGGACGAGGGTATGGTGGCAAGTGCGAAGGCTGCACCACCGCCGAAGAGTGTGGGGGATACAACCATGAAGACAACGTCCAGACTGGCACTTGTCGAACTTGTGGGAGAGAGATGTCCACCTTATTACTCAAACCGCACGAAAGAGGATGCAAGGGCAAATACTCCCACTGTGAGGAGGCGGGAGCAGCCTGCGAGCGGCAGGGTCGAAGCGTATCAGAGCCGTGTAAGCGGTGCGTCAGTGACGGCGTTGGCGACAGTTGTGATGGATGGTGGAAAAGATGAGGCTATGATTTCAGTATTAACATGACAAACTTCGGTTGATCTTGGAAGGGACGTATGTATGAAGCTTGTTGGGGATTTGTTTTCCATAGACTAGGCGTTTTGCTATTGAATCTGTAATAATCATACTGTCGACTGGAACTTGGGAATTCCACCTAATCCAGAACTGTGCCCCTAGTAATACTGGGACGTTTTTGACAATTTAAAAGTATGATGCTCCTCAGCTATTTTTGATTCCCTTTCAGAGTACTCACGATAGAATATCAAAGCCAGTTATTGGGGGAGGCAACAACAGGTATACAGATCTGCGCAGGGTACTATGCCATCGCTATTTCCTCAGAAAATCCCCATTTAAGATCAAGAAATATTGCGTGTATAATGGTAGACTCATGATATAATTAATCCATGAGAATCTGTGAAAGTCCATGACGCTTAAGAAAGGAGGCAGACAATTGAAGTAGTCGTTGTCTTCATTTTCGGCATTTATACTCGCTTAAAGGTGCCCCGGTCTTACCTGTCTTTCAAGGCATCTTTGGTGGTTTGAAACAGAGAATCGACATCACTGTCGAAGATGCGTTGAATATCCCTCAGACAATAAGTGAAGCTTAACGGACCTCCTTGTAAAAACTCCCCGATCTTCTCGATCACCCCCCTGAGCCAGGTTGGTTGTTGTTGACCAAATGGCACAGGGAAGCGTATATCACACTATGAATCCTCTACGTGTGCTATTGCCATCAATTCAGGCGTGTCGGAAAAAGGACATAGAATGTACATGTCCTTTTTCTCGCCCTTAGAAGGGAAGGATAGAAGAAAGAAAGAAAGAAAGAAAGACATCCATATGATAACCCATATGAAATTCCATATAGATATGTCGTGTACATCAAGAATCATCGGTCCGCTTCTAATAGGAATAGGAAGGAAAGAAAGTCAAGGAAAAAACGTGAAACAAGCAGAAGCTAACAGATACCGTAGACGGAGACAAAGCTACTTAGCCATTTAGGGGTAAATCATTTTGCCTAAGCAACCATATTCTCTCTGGTGTCTTGGAATGTCATTAACGATGATCTAGAGAATTAGAGTTCAGAAGCATGATTTGTAAGTACGGATAGAGAGGGGAGTTCTATAAATACCGACTTCCTTGCTCAAGAAATGCGATGACGAACATCCTGTTAACCTCCAAGATAACCCCACGACAGACGCATGGACTTTCTTCTAGAACATGCTTTGGTAGGAACATTACGCGAAGCGAATCGGTAAGGTTGATTGTAAACAAGGCTCGCAGCTTCAACTCGTGCTGTATTCCAAATGAAGTACGTGATGATGACGGATTCCAGTCCATACGGTATTTCGCTACATAAGCATTATGGTATGTATGCCAACGATTGCGTGCATACACAAGCATATGTATTCAGTACCACCTAAATAATAGCTCCGCCAAAGCATATCCTCCACTGGTTGACAACTAGAATGGGAGCGACGCAGCAACCCTCGTCTTGTTTACAAAGGAAAGCAGGCTGCATGACTCCGTGAATCGAACAAATAATATACAAGAAACGTGAGAAGCAAGTGCATAATATACAAAGTGATTTACTCATGTCGTGTTACTCTTCCAGGTGGTCCGTCATCGGCTGCCCGACGAACATGGCCGTGGAGAATTAGATTCTTTGAGGTTAAATGTCCCAGCCAAGTTAGGGAACGCCTTTGCAAAAGCATCGCCTAGCTTCCAGTTATCCAAGTTCCGCAGATGGCGTTCAAAGACAGGGTTGATCATAAGTTCGTCGCTTTCTGGATCCTGGAGTAACGTGTCCGTCTCTTCGTAAGGCCAAGATAGTGAAAGAGTCGTGGTAAACGGAACAAAAAAGTTATCAAAGGGATACAACGACGGGTTGTGGTCAAGAATAAGGCGCTCACGCATTTTGGGGAAAGGAATATGATCAAGCCAAGCAGAATGTGAGATACTCGTCTGACAGGGAAGTGGCACCATCCACTCTGGAAGGCGATCATAATTCTCCTGGGTAGGTTCGATCTGCCAGCGCATGACAAGAAACATCATGTAGAGTACCGCCACACGCTCAGGAAGGGTCGAGATGTCGGGAAAGGTGGCTAGGATATCGGTGAAGACTTTAGAAAGGGGGTGACTATATGCGCTATTGGCAGGATTGAGGAGTGATGATACAGAAGGGTAACGGGGACCAACGACGTCCTGAGTGGGAAGACCATCTGCAGCACGTTGACGCCGCTCACTAAGAAAGTCGAGCAACAAAGAGTCGAGGGGACATGTTGGTGGGCAGTTCTTTATGGGAGCTGTAGAGCCGACAGTGTTGGGATCGCTGCGAGGAGGAACTGAACGACCAGCTGTGCTTAAAGCAGGGCTGTAACCAGGACTATGGGTGCTTTCAGGCGTGTGGGCGGCTGACAGGCTTTGCTGAGGTTGGGCTTGGTGCTGGCATTGATGTTCTTGTGAAGGGTGGCCTGGCTTTCCCTGGGAGCCCCAACTCGCTGAGCGACTATGTAAGGCGCGCTCCTGATTCACACCTGTCCAGTCGTGCTTCATTGGTACATGGTGGAACTGAGGTGTGTCTTGGGCACCATTGACTCCGTTCTGGATACGATTAACCCGCTGCGAGGGCTCGAGAAGAAACTCCAGCCCAAGTCGTTCAGGGCCCATATCGAGCCCATGTTGGAGACTACGGCGCTGCTGAGTTAATTGACTCGTAGCCTGGGTTTCAGCATTGGTTGTGCCACCGGCGGATGTATGAGGGGAGTGTTGTTGTTGTTGTTGTTGTTGTTGTTGCTGCTGCTGCTGCTGCTGGAGTAGGTGCCAATGGGCTTGACTGGGAGGTTCATGGCTAGGAGGGGATGCAGCACTGCCAGGAGTAGAAGCGGCATGTGCGTTGTTATGATGGCTGTTGTGAATGCTCAGGGTGGTAGTGTGTTGCACCGGAGGCGCATGTGTCTGAGCAGGTGATACGTAAGCCTGCTCAATAGCAGCTATGTCTCCTCGTTAGTCCTGGGCGTATATAGAAAGAACAGTACGAACATTGACCAATGATGGGCTGTAGCATGGCAACAATGCCAGCTAAACGACGCTTGATGTCGGCATTCTCTTGCTCAACGGCCTCCTTGGCGCGAAGGACGCTCTGGAGTTCTTGATATGGCTGCTGGTTGGTGAGCTCCTGAATGCGACGCTCAAGAGTATCGATCTGATTCTTGGTCCGCTCACGAATGGCTCGTTGAGCTTCACGGTCTTGAAAGGCGTTAGTGAGTGTCTTTCGTTACATTTGCCTTATCAGACGCGATGGGAAGAATGGGGCAGGTCTAAAGATAGAAAAGGATAGACAAGAAGAAGCCAATAGCTAATCAATAGCAGTGAGTGACAACAAGGGAAAAGATAATCGACCTGCGTCAGCAGTTAACTGACTCGACAAGCTGATAGGTGGTTGATGTGCTGCCAGCAAAAAAATGGAACAGAAAGAAACAACAAGCAAATACTGCACTTACCATTCGCTCTCTTCTTGGCCAATTGCTCTGGCGTCAGATTGGCAACTCCCCTACTTCCAGGACCAGACTTTTTTCTCCTTTTGGCACTCTCATCATTGGTAGCTGGAGAAGACGGGTTGACCATGTCGGCGTCGCGCTTGAGAGACATCGAATCATCATCGGGACCGGGACCGAGACCTTGGCCAGCAGGACTGTGAACTGTCCCCGGCGTATCGGGGCCTTGGCCTTGACCGGGACCGGAACCTTGGCCGGAGGCCATTGGAACACAACAGAACTAGCCCCCGTCTCGGAGTGGAGTGGATTGCTTCTCTGAGGGAAGAACACGGAAGACGGGAAGTGAGTGAGACGGATGAATCCCGTGCCTGTCGGGTGCCTGAGAGTGTGGGGGTAAAAGAAAAAAGAAAGACGGGGATGAGTTGCTTTGAGTATCCACCTTTACCCAAATGGAAAGTAAAACAAGGTATGTATCCGTGGCACCTGGAGACAAAAGGGAAGGAAAGTAGCAGAGCGCTCTTCTTTCCTTTTTCAATCTGTTTTAGCAGGTACTGGATAGTCTCTCAGTTGTTCCTGCAGTGGTGGACGTTGATCGGTACAACTCAGCGAGTAAGGAACAAGCGATGCAAAGCAAAGGACAAGAGGAAAGAGAAATAAGGGGAAATAATACGGGTATGAAAGTTTTTACAGACTTTCTTCGCCAATGATATGGTTGGAACTGTGGGGTTCCTTTTTCCCTTAATTTGGTCGTTCCTCTGAGATCTCAACACAACAAGCAAGCAAGGGTAAGGGGAAGGAAATAGACTCTCATCAGTCAGCCAGTCTTCAGTCCAGTCCAGTCCAGTCCAGGCGAGACCAGGTGAGGCGAAGCGGGACCGGATCAGATCTAGCCAGGGATGAGACAGCCAGCTAGCTACAGCAAGATCGCGTCGTCGCGTCGCACGAGTGATCTACTTACAGTACGCACGCATGTGCTGTAGACTGACTACCCGGGTCTGTGGGAACAATTGTGACTGGAAAAAGACAGGTTGGGGTCTTCAGATGGGGGGATTGTTGACTCATAAAGCCCGCTGCTGCAAAATGCGACCGAGTCATGGACCCCTGACACTCAAAGGTGGATACACAGATCTGTTCGGTTCTTGATCATGTGATGCCGATGATTTGACGAAATGGGTTAACTCGGATCTGGAAATAGCTACACCAACAACCACGATACCATGATCCCGGAATCTGCGACAAAGTCGTCAATTCAGGATTTGGTTTATTACTTAGGCAGCTACACCGAAAGAAACCTGTTGTTAGATTTGTGCCTCTGAAAGCTTTGTCGCCATGACTACCAGAAAAATGCTAACCTTGGGGGACAGAAATATTATTTACGATATCTTATGTTTTAAAAAAGGAACCAAGTTGTTTCATCCCTCATGTTCTTAATGGTCAAGTTCCTCATAATAAAAGCAAATAGCATTCAATAAACTCCTCTATCACTCCCACCCATCCCGTTCTATATTTACAACCAACGAAATCCAATAACCAAATGAACAAGCAAAGAAACCTGACAACATGCCACCCATCCATCGCCATATTACCAAAATCCAAGCACAATGGACAATTTCCCTCCTTCTCAGGATAGAGCCGCGATCTCATCACACTTCGGATGACAAACTCGTACGTTTGGGGCTTGAAGATCCCTCAGTGTCGTCTTGCTCCGTTGAGTTGGTCCTCCGCCGCTTGGTGGGGACCGAAGCAGCCTGCCCTGCCGCAGCACTGAACCTCTCTGCAAGAATGTCCAACTTCCATTCTGATTTCCGCACCTCAGATGGTTTGCAAAACTCATCGAAGGGGTCCAAAACCAGCATGGTCTGCCGGCAGTCAGGCAGAGCTCGATGATTATGACCAATTAGGCCATGGCCTGGATACAGAAGTTCGAGGACATTGGCAAGTCTAAGCGGCATGCCAAACCCCTTCATGTTATGCCTGAAATAATCGACCGTAAAGATGCAATTGCCGTTATTGGGTAAAATGCCCGCGTTTTGCCCTCCTCGCTCCAAGAATTCCCTGACTACCGTGAGGTCGAATTTGTTCGTGGCCCAAACAAGGAACACAGTCTCGGGGGTGATTCCTGCCCGTCGCAGGGATTTGACAACCTGCTTTACATCTATCAGGGTCGATGCATTTGCATTAGAAAAGATCTTTTTCTCTCGCTGTTTTTCAACCCCCTGTGCCGCTGGTGGAAACCGTTTAAGTCGAAGGACTGCCTTGATATCCGTTTGCTTTATTAAGGTGTTTATTAGCACCTCATTTGTCGCTCGATCGACGATAGCAAACTCCTATAGTTTTCCTACGAAGCCGTACTCACAGTCCAGCACAACCACTTTCCGACGCATAGGCTGCATCGTGCGCTTCACTTGACTGACCGGCTGCCTGGCCTGGTCTTCGTACTCGGTGCACCACAAAGTCCAGGACTCCGTTACTACTCTCAGAAGCTTCTCTCGGAGAGGTTCGAAGTCGATCTTGGGCGCTTTCGAACCCCACCACTTCATGAACCTGCGCTCGGAATACTCTGAGCCGCATTTGTGGCATCTAGTCCTAAGCCTCAAGCAAGCCATATCGGAACCCCTGTCGTAATGTTTCAGAAAGGCAGTGTGCAGGTCGATTGCCACCTGCTCCGGGCATGGTTCAGGGATCAGATCCAGAAGAGGGCGCAAGCCTGGTCCAATGCAAGTATATCTCCTTGCCCTCAGACTTACAGGCATCTCGTTTTTCAATGCATCTGTTTCCAATAGGTTAGTCTTCAGTTCAAAATAATGGAGAATTTTGATGCAGCACATACCCCACAGGTTCTCATTCATCTCGAGAATGCTAACCTCTGAACCACGGTCGACTGTATTCCAATCGCCCGAATCATAATAGTCCTCCTCTTCCTTAATGTAGACTTCACGATATTCAATCGCCATGTGATCGATACCATCTGGATCCTCCATGACATGATTCGAATCCTTCATGTCAACATCTGAATCCACAGAAGTAGTCGTAACGATGCCGGCTGGTTGCTGGTACTTGAAGATGACCTCGAACAAAGGGTTCCTATAGAAACGAGGTAGTTCCGCTTGCTTGAACTCTGACGTATTGCTAGGCGAAACGTGACCGTTGTCTAGATGGTATTGCTAGTGAAGTTGCAGTTGATTTGTACGAAGTAATCTGCCGGCTACCGTCGTTATGCAATTAGGAAGGGGGCATAGGTACAGAGCCAGATTGGAGCAATGGTTTATATCTTTTGCATGTACTAGCGCTTCTTTAGCTGTCTTGAAGAATTCGTAACAAAAGTGAACCGGGCACTTTATAGAGTGTATATATCGAAATTCATGTTTATTCCGATTGTCTTTCTTTATAAAAGCCTTCCCGCAAATATTGCAGAGGAAGCGTAAGGGGTTCTCTGCATGGTGTGTTACACAGTGCAGATCGAGCTCGGGTTGAGTAAAGTACCCGTTTTCGCAATCGGGGTATAAAAATGGTCTGGTTAAGCCCTCGTATTTGTGTAAATGTAGATGGCGGTCCAGATGCGCCTTCAATGAAAATGCCATGTCACGTTCTGGACATGGGAAGGGCTTGAGGTATTTGTGAACACCATCAACATGTTTATTCAAATTGCTCTTTTGTGAGAATGACTGGAGGCAATGTGGACACTGGAAGAGCTTGAGATGTTTGTGAACATTCTGGATATGTTGGGTCAAATTGCTCTTGTTTGAGGATGACTTAGGGCAAGTTTGGCTCTCGTGAAGTTCAGCCATCTTGAAGTGTTGTATGGCGGCAGTGAATAATATTAATTGCGATTGGTGTAGTAGCGAAGAACAGTCGGGTGAAGTTGCTGTAGATGGAGATAGATGATGACATTCAGCTACTTTTAGCTGTTCTCTTATGAGATTATCATTTTTTGTATTGGATGCAATGTGATCCATGATGTTTGACTGTGCTTTCAACTCATGGGGGTCAAAGACACCATGTTACAACGGATACAACTTGTGAAGGAGAACTGTCAAGTACAAAGGACTATACAACAAACCATCAGAGTAAGTTGCCGATGAACGAGAGAAAACACAAAGGTACCATTGAGAATTACATTATTTCAGCTTTGCTGGGTTCAATAGATATCAAAGAAGATGTGAAACTAGGATCGACTTCCAGCGGAGCCAAGTGTTTAGACCCAACGGACGAGACTTGTACGATCTTGTTGATTGTGGACTATCGGGATAGGCTTCCTGTACAGACTATATGGAAGTTTTAAAGAGAGTATCTTAGTATATCGGTCAAGCAGATACTGCTTATAAGTGTACAATTAGACTTATGGATGCTATCGCCGGCGGGTTTAGTCTGTTACAGGTAATCTAATCATAAAGACTGAAAGCTGCTTCTGGTAAGTTATCATTATGCAAAGGGGTATGTTGACGCAAGTTTTTTCTATTGATCTAAAGCATAATGTTAACAGATAATCGCCCCTGCGTGAGAAACATTGGGGAAGGAGTTAACTATGCCCATTCTCATTCAATGTTCATGATTTCTTTATCGTTTTGTTTAGCAATCATCTTAGATCAACCAATAGTCAACAATATCATTCAACACTTTCTCTTCCATTGTTCCGTATCCACGGTGAAATATTGTCAGCAGTCATCCTTGCCAGGGGTTCTTTGATTGGTGCGACATTTCAAGCTATGGAAAGGAAACCATCAGTTACCCATGGACAAACATTCAGAGGGTTTCAATCAATGAACAAAGCTAGAATGAAAGAAATTGTAAGATCAATAGACATTTAGGCGAAGCAGCGGCACCGTCATGCAGCCCTGATGTTCTCCCAATATGACTTTGTATCTACATACATATAGATTTCTTAATCACATGGACATCCCTTAGGGGTAAAAAGATTGATACTACTTACCTAAGGGATAAAACTATTTAGTTATCTTATGACATCTTAGACCCGCTCTTAGTATGTCTTCAATTTCTGCCACTCCCTTAGCCATCTCAGCAAATATGCAGATATTGACTATCGCACCCTTATATCCTGATAGAGACATTCTATAGAATACGATAACACTCTAAATGTATACCTCGGTTTAATATCTAAGGACACTGGTTTGTGATACTCTTGTATGATGACTTGCCGTTACTTTGTGAAGTTTGTACGTCGTTATCAATGGCCCTTTATCCAGTCTTGGATCCGTCGTGCTTCTTCGCGCATTGCGAGCAGTCCTACCTGCTCTTACTGTAACCACCTCACATTTTCTTTGAAAAAGCCGCTTTGTATCATAGGTCTCAACATTGGATACGCGGTAGTTCCCCGCTCTGAGAGAGTGAATCACTTTCTTCATGGTGAGTGATCATCATCACCGTCTAGTCTTCCATTATGCCTACCAGGTTTTCTCATCTAGCAACCTCAGTGCAAGGCAATCTAGGGATCAGTAACCTGTGGGGATCATCGACGGTGTCAGGTATCTGCCTGATAAAGACAGTGTGTTTTCGAGTCAAATCCCTCACTTGTACCTTACTTCTGACGGCCGTTCAGCCTGCAACTGCTCGGCGACGGACAATACAGGATCTAACGCATACTGAAGGAAACCAAGCATGAGCTGATATATCCTTGGGTGCGCCTCATTATCCCCAAAAAGATGTCTGATGCGCCTGCTCTGTAATGTTTTATTATAGCAGATGTCTCGGATGCCTTCATGAATACCCAAGCTGAGGGTTTCTTCCTACCGTGACACGATTTTTGATGGATGATCTCAGAACGTCGTCTGCACATATTAGATTAGCTCTTGATATCCAATAGAAAGCAGAACCAAGGTTTGGTAGTCTATAAAAACAACTCACACCACATGCGGTTCTAGAAGTTTAAGCAAAGAAAAGTCCTTGAACTCGCCAGACTAAGTTTGCCAGGCTGCTCGTGAGATTGATCTGTACCTCGAGAAGTATACTGACCTACTTATCACTGGTAGTATCACTGAGAAAACTGCGTAGAAGATCATTAGCCAGATGTAGGTTAAGTCTTAGATAGAAACCATACGCTTTTAGTCAGTTATTGTATTTTGGGCGTTGGAGCAAATGGGAACAGGAGTCAATTGCTCTATTTTAAGATAGAAGAAAGCTTAATAACTAAGCTTAGGGAACCTAGAATTATCAAGTAGACCGTTGTTTTAGTATAAACCACTATGAATTGATTCAGTCATGTCGTCTCTTATGATATCAAAGTGTCCCACTAATGCTGAGCATTGGGTGCCTTGGAAATGTAATTCTGCCCAACGAGATCTATTTTAACTTAGTAGGCAGTGAACCGCAGTAGACATTAGATGCTTACGCCGAGGAGCCTCGTATGGTTTCCGTCCATTGATGTCAAAGACTTATCTTTTTGCAATCTCACAACCATGCAAATGTGCACAAGTACAATGTAATCTCAATTGCTATAAAGCCGCAAACAATAAAAGATTATCCCCTTTCTCCTTACTCAATTAATGTTGGCTTCTATCACGAAATATCCCCATTCTTTGCCCCATCCTTTTGTGCCTGACCTCATATCTTAAAACTTGTACGTTCCTTCATCCTAGCCGTAGAGCGTTGCCTATATTCAATAAACCCAACATGTGATATCCATGCGCCAAACTCTTATTCCGCCGATGCCCTTGCAAGAGCCTCGTGAAGGTGGGGTGGGAACCTGTATCGAAGCTGGCTGGTGTATGTTGTCAAGTCCAGCGTCATCTGCTTCAATTGGTCGACCATCAGGCGTCGAGTTCCCTCATTGCCACTGAACTGGCCGCTTGTCAGCTGCTCTCGTTGGCGAACACAGCAGATAATCGTCCACATCAACAGGTTGGGCACGTTGATAGACACGGGCTGCGAGAGACCGGAGAACTTGGAGGCGTAGGCTCGGATGGTGCTGCCATCGCCCGCAGCGTCCAGGGGCAGAATCTCGAGGCTTCGAATTCTCTGTTCTCCAAGTTAGCATTATTCCACTGTATTGCAAGGTTAAGGTGTGACTTACGTCGAGGCACTGTGCCCATTGTCCAGCTTCCACCAATCCCTTGATACTGCTCATCTCCAGCAGCACTCGGCAGGCCACCTTGTTCTGGTCCTGGATTCTCCTGTAGAACATGGCATCGCGCTCGTACATGCTCATCATAGTCTTGGCCAACTCGACAGGGTCATCAATGGCTGCCAAGCTAAGGCTGCTGCCAGCATCAGCCTCTTGTCCACCAGCTCGGGGCTTGACAGGCATGAGACGCATGGGGTCCTCGCCAATCTCGAGAGAAACAGCCTCACTCAGCGCGCGGCTAACAATAGCGACAACCGTGTCGTATTCGCCGGCGAGGTGGTACAGCAACACCGAGTCTGTGGTGCGGCCATTCTCATCCGCGAAGCTGGCGGCCTGAAGAGTGACTGTGTTGACAAAGTCATCCTCAGCATCAAGACCAATAAGAGGGCCACGCTCCTCAATAATACCACGGATGCGTCGGCCATCCGGTCGAATATCACCAATTAACTTGCTGAATTCGCGTGTCTCAAGCACCAACTCGCGGAGAGCCTCGTGGCACAGGCTGCTGTGTCGCTGGCCAGCCTCACCCTCAAGGTCCTGATTGAGGCAGATAAGTGTCAGGTAGTCAACAGCAGAGACGACATCCGCAGCTCTAAAGTCACGGGTGTAGTATCCAATCATGCGACCAAAGTTGACCTGTGGTAAGTTCTTGGTACTGTAGCTGCGAAGGTCGTTGGACGGTGACATGGCATCGCTTGGTCGGAGCAGGCCGTAAAACTCGAGCGCCAAACCAAAGTGCACAGCGTCGACATATGAGAAGGGGTAGAGATAGGCGATAGCATCCTCGAACATACCCGACAAGATTTGCAAGTAGAAGAACATGCCAAAGCTGCCGTTGCTGTCTTCCGAGTTAGCCTTAGGGAAGTGCTTCAGACCAATCTCTCGGATGCTGGACTGCAACTCAGCCAAGCCATACGACTCGCCAGCCATTTCAATTGTCTTATCGCCCTCTCTTGCTAGGTTGAACTGGAGCCAAATCCAGTCATTGATATCTGTATTAAGTCCGTCCAGGTTACGGTTACCGAGCTCGATACGCCCAATGACCTTGTAACAAGCCATACGGAAAGGATCGATAGAGTTTTCGGGAGCGTTGCGTGATCGCTGGATGTACTCGTTGGTGCAACGGTCCAGGAGCTTTCTGTTGGTAAGGCGTCGATCCTCACTGGCAGCGTAGTTGTTGAGGTATGTCGCAAAGGTTCTATCGATGCCTCGGAATTGGTTGGTGTTGTCGTTGACATACTTGGCAGCCTCGCTAACATGTCCAGAACGGAGCAGATAGAAGACAATGGCCCAGACATACTCACCCTGAACTTGCTGAAGCTCAGTGTTATCGGGAACCAAATCTTTTCGTGCAGACCGCAATCTGATGTACGCCTTGACCTTGCTGACAATATCAGGCAGACCACCAAGCTTCGCCTCGTGAGGGTGCTTGGCAATAAGGGACTCGACTTCACGCAAAAACTGCTTCTCTAGGAAACTGTTGGCACCAGTAAGGATACGCTTTCGCATCTCAACCGACTTGGAGGAATTGGGGTTATCGTTCAGATACATATCGGCAAACTCGCGTTCCTTGGCTGTCGCGTTGTTTAGGGTCGTCTCGGCATCAGGGTCCTCGCCCACGATCTCCATGACGGCTAGGTATGCCTCCACGACATGGGGCGCATGAGGTTCGTGAGACTTTTGCTCGACAGCAGCGAGCTCAGAAAGAATGGGGTAGGGTCGCTTAAGCAGACGAGCAGTGTTGAGATTGCGAATCTTCTCCGATAGACGTCCCTGTCGCTCACGGAGTACTCTATCATCGGAAGAGACACGCCCGTCGAGACCTCCAGACTCGGAAGAACGATCGACATCTGAGAAATCGGTCTGGTGGGCTCCAATCCGGCTGGGTGTTCCGATGACAGACTTCTGAAGTGTCGATCTGCCAAGAACACTGGCCCTGCCAGACTTGGCAGCTGGCGCCTGGCTCTTACGCCTGGAGCGACCGAAAGCACTCTGAGATTCACGCCCGGTGGTAGATGTTTCCTCGCGGGGTGTGATTCCAAAGTGCTGGTAGATGCGCTTTCGTTGCGCCTCCCATTCCATGGTAACATTGTCTTCGAGGAAGTTATCAAAGTCGCGAACCGATCGATCGATTCCGTCGGCAATCATGCTAAGAGTCGTCTTGGTTTGGAGGTTCGAGAGGTATGTTTCGACGTCGAGTTCGCTAGGGGCGTAGCCATGTGTGGTTCGCTCAGTACGGCCGGGCTGCACATCAAGAAGTCCGAGATCCTTGGCTGCAACACCAGGATCGACGCCAGAAGCTGCGAGAAGGTAGTGAGCCTTTCCGCCGAGAGGTTTGTCACTAGGCTTGGACTGAAGCTTTCTCAATCGGTGTCGTAGGTCGCCCAGACCGAGTTCGAGGCTAGGGAGATCCTCCATGTTGGCTTTACCATCAGCTTTCTGGCTTTTGGCAAAGAGACTATCGAAGTAGGCGCCCGCTGGCTGTGATTGTGCTTGGGTTTGTCCATTGGGGGCCTGGCTAGCGAAAAGGCTTCCACCCAATGTGCTTGCACCGAAAGTGCTTCCGCCCAGCATGGAAGGCGCGTTCTGTTGAGGTTGCTGCTGCTGGGTCTGCGGCTGGCCGAAGAGTGAGGGCTTCGCAGCTGCCACGGGTTGCGCTAGGGAGGAGCCAAACAGAGAGGGCTTCTGTTGTTGTTGTTGCTGCTGCTGCTGCTGATTACCAAACAGACCGCCACCTGTTCCGCTTTGCTGAGTCTGTGCTTGCTGTCCAAATAGTCCAGTACCCGTGGTCGTGCTCGGCTGCTGTGTAGTCGACTGGCCAAAGAGGCCACCGCCCGTAGTAGTTCCCGTCTGCTGTTGCTGTTGTTGCGGCTGCCCGAACAAACCACCACCCGTTGCGGGCTTGTTTGCGCTAAGTCCTCCAAACAAACCACCCCCCGTCGTGCCGCTCTGTTGTTGCTGTTGATTCTGGGCCGGTTGGCCAAACAGACCACCGCCAGTGGTTCCGCTTTGTTGATTCTGTGTTGTCGACTGCCCAAACAGTCCTCCGCCTGTTGTGCCACCAGTATTGCCTCCAAACAGCGAGCTGCCGCCCGTGTTGGCAGTCTGTCCAAAGAGAGACATGGGTGCTATAATCGAAAAGTCCTTGGGAAAGTATACAATAGGAATTCCTCAGGTCTATGGATGAAGTGTTAGCAAGTTGATGACAGGCAAGCTGTCGTGATGCGTGGATGAGGAAATATTAAAAAAAAAAAAGGCCTGGTCAACAAGAGACAAAGTCGGCGCGCGTTTGTTTCTACAAATTTAGGAGTGGGCCATGACTGGGATGCTTGGAGGTGAAGCTTTGGCCAATCACAGAGAGCATCTGCTCCTAGGCAACGCTAGGTAGGTCTAAGTAAATGGTTGAATGATTTTAGGAGAGATCTACTTTAGCTTTGAGATACCAAAATTAAAGAAAATGTCAAATAAATACTTCAATTACTCTATTTCATTCATCCTTTTAGGGGTTGCTTTGTGTCGGCCCATTTAAACGCATACGATCAATCATTATTGGCCTTTGTACCAAATTCCCAACGCCCATTACCTAAACCAAACGCTCATCAAGTTTATGTTCCTCAACCTTCATGCACATCAGCTCAGCCTTTAAGAGCCGTTAACAGTGCCGTTGACAGTGCCATTCGTACGAGCCTTTTTGGAAGCCGTGGCCTTGTCGATCTTGCTTCGATACTCCTGTTGAGTCTTGCACATGTCCAAGAAGATCTCATACTTGGCGTCTAGGAGCGTCTTCTCATCCTCGTCGTTGCTAGGATCGACCAGTCGACCTCGCTTACTCATGCGATCCATGATGCTCCAGAGAGACTCGGGCTCACTGCCATCCTCCTTGCTATGGCTTGCTGCCTTTGCGCCGAGCATGGCAGCGCCGTGAACGACAGCCGCGTTGACGTATCGTGGGATCAGGACAGGCATTCCGCAGGCAGTGGCTAAAAGGTTCATGAGGACAGGATTTTGGCACTGAGAACCAGACATGAAGATGGATGAAATCTCATGACCAGAATTGTTCATCTGCTCGATAATCTGGCGAGTCTGCATAGCGATAAACTCCATGGTGGCATAGTACCACAGAGCCATGTTGTCGGTGCTCTTGTCGCTGTCTAACCCGATCATGCTACCCTTCATGTTGGGATCGGCGATGGGCGAGCGGTTACCCCACAGGTCACCATAAAAGAAGTGATGGCGTCCCAAGTAGGAGATCGAGGGGGCGCCATGCTTTTCTTTCATGAGTTCAAGGTGAGCGTTGAGGAAGTCATAGATGTGTTTGTCCTCAGCCTTGGCCAAGGCACAGGTTTCGTTATAAGCAGGGTGAATGTCAAGCATGTGTCGCAGAAGCTCTCCAGTTGCAGACTGGCCACCTTCAGCCATCCAGAACTCGGGAAGGAGAACATCACGGTAAGGGCCCCAAACACCAGGAACAAACACAGGTTCCTTGGAGAGAGCCAAGTGGCATGTTGAGGTTCCTGCGACGGCGGCCAGGCGGGTAAAGGCTTGGGCAAGATCATTATGTGGTACAGCTGCGTTAAGTTCATCGTCGCCAAGGTCGACCTTAGCGCCCACGGTTCCAATCCAGCCTGCATATGCGTCAATGACGCCGCTTCCCACAGGGATGCCCATTGGGAGGCCGAGTTGGTTGGCAGCCAGTCGACTCAAGGTGCCCACAGGCTCGCCAGCACTGACATAGGTTCCGTTCTGCGAATATCTTTGTTAGCTGGATGCACTAAGAAACGGCGCATAATAACCAAAGGGAGAAAGTATGAAAAGGCTCACCACCCCGTTGACACCACCCATCTGCTTGAAGTCATCCTTGGTAAGGTCGCCGAGACCAATTTCATGGTAAAAGTCCTCTTGCCAACCCTTGACGCTGCCATCAACGCCAACAGGAACATAGCCTTGCTTGCAAACAACACTGCAGTAGCTGCGCGTCTCGTTGCCAGTAGCCAAGTGGGTAAGAGCGTCTGCAAGATCGTAGAACTTGGCACGCTCAAACACTTCTGGAGGCATATGGTTCTTGAGCCAGAGGACCTTGGGCATCTCCATCTCGATGCTCATCTTTCCACCAACGTACTTGAGGAGCTTGTGGTTTGTATTGTTAATTTTTTCGGTCTCTTCGACCGGTCGGTGGTCGAGCCACAAGATGACGTTGCGGTCGTTGCCATCATTTGTGAAGTCAGGCCCAGTGACAGGGAGTGGCTCGTCGGTGTCGTGAGTGAAGACGGCAAGAGAGCATGTGGCATCGAAGCCAATGCCTTTGATGCTGGAGGGGTTGACTGTGGACTCGCTGACAACGCGACGGACGCACTCGCAGATGCATTGCCAGATATCCGTTGTGGATTGTTCCTGAGAGAGTCAGATAATGTTGGGCATGAAGGATCGCAAGTGCAGCTTACATAGTAGCCAGTCTCAGGCTGCCATAATTTGATGTTCTCAGAGGCCAGAGCCTTGATATCACCAGTCTCGTCAATGATGCAGGCGCGAGCAGAGCCTGTGCCAACATCGACACCGATGTAGTGATCCTGTGAGAGAAGTTAGTTTGGATTCGAAATGTTGACCTGCCACTACCGCAGCCACCACAAACGGCTGGAGCTTGATTCAATGACTGCGTACCAAAACTTGAGGAGGTCTATCCATTGTGAAAGAAGAAATGATCAGCCAAGATCTCGAAATTATAGAAAGCTGAGAGTACGAGGGAACTCACTCCATGACTTTGATGGGCTTGTGGTTGCTATACGTATTAAAGGGATCGAGTCTCGGCGCAAGAGTGACTGCTGTGCTTTATTGCCCGATGGATAAGCTTAGGCTCGTGTCAAAGACAGTCCCTCCCAATGGGGAAGACGATGAGGGGAAGAGGTCGGGTGTGAGGCGAGACGAGGCGTCACCCCGCGTAAAAAGCAATCCTAATGATAGAATAGAGTCTGGAACTTTGAGGAGTAAAGGAGGTGGTGTGGAAGCCCAAGACAGTAATTGAGTGGTCAGCTAAACGTTGGAATGTCTTAGCTTTGGAGATGTCAGTTTTGCGTAACACGCTTTGTAAGTTGACAAAGCTCATACAGGCATATATAGTATTCACTTTATCTATCTATTGTAATTATATCCAGTAATTGGAATGATCAGATGATGTGGAACCTCAGAGAATATAAGCTCGTGGACACTTTTATTATGGACTCTTGTCGTCCGTCTCCCAGCATGGGAAAAAGGCCAGTCATGATGAGGGAGAGAGAGCTCCATCATGGCAAACAATGGAGCTTTGACAGTGGAATCCTGGGGGAACCGGGAACCCCCACCCCCTGCAAGCCCACTGTACATTAGCGGATGCTAGATAGGGTGGGGGAGGCGACAAGAGGTGGCATGGATATGGCACTTCCAAGAGCTCTAGAAGCTGAATAGACAAATGCAATGCAACTTCAAATGCAGTAGTAACAATTCTCCTTTGGATCCTTGTCCATGAATGAAAAAAAAGTACACTTCCTTCTCCTTCCTCATGTTTCGCTTCCCATCCACTAACAACTCTCGGCGCCCTGAAAAGCTTCCCTCCAACTTGTATCGGCTTTTCCGTTTTCTATTTCTTCGTCTCATAACCTAAAAAAGAAATGCTGTTGCCTGCGGGAGCGGGGATCCTCAAGTCAAGCCACCTCGAACGGTCCATCAGTCCATTCACCAATAAAGCTAGACTAGTGGGAGAGAGGGATTCCATGATCTGCTCTGAGAACTCATGATGGATAGCTTGAGGGGTGTATTTACGAAATACCTTGGCAGAAACAATGTTGTTTCTTTGCTGATAATCACCGTATTACATACTTGTCTGATGATGCTGTACATTCTGGAATTAACAACCACTGATAAAATGACCAGGAGAATTGCACTTGTAAGCGGAATAGGAAGAGACTTTTGAGTATCACGTTTCCGAACGCCGGATATCATCTTCCTAGAAGAATTTGTTGATAATGCTACTCAACTCAACAAACACTCCCCCCTTAAACGATTGCCTAACCATTGGCACAACACCAAATTAGGCTCTCTTACTGCACTCAACTCAACTCATATCTCACCTTGATCGGCATCGGCATGCATTTCTTCCCCACATCATCCCTCGTCTCGTCTCATCCCAAGCATCATCGGCATCCCCAGGCCAAAACCAAGCACACCGCCGCCTACTCAACTGTATCTGTACACAACAGTAGAGCATACAACACGAATGATATGATGTGGCGTTATCTTGCCATCCCCGGTCTTCTCGGCCGACAGCGGAGTCTCCCCTCACAATGCAACACGAAAAAAAGAAAGAAAGGAAAAGAAAAGTTTTAGTGTCCGATGACCTCTCAATATGCATTCCGGGGGGTCGGTTTATTACAACAGCCAACGTTGTAACACACCAAACAACCTTGCTCGGGATGCTTGAACCGTCCCAGACATCCGGGATTCCAGATCCGGCTCATCCGCGATGCCCGTCTCCTGCTGCTGTAGTCAATTGGCCAATGACCAGCTTGATTAGCATTCACCGAGATCTTGTGACTTGCTTGGCCATGTCTTGTTGTGCGGTGAATCATGAATGTCACTACATACAGTGAACTGTCATCATGCTACTGTACTGTCCCGCACTGCAACATTCCTTTTGTTCTCCCAATAATGCTATTATTATCTTACAGTACAGCTCATGAGCTGATACCCATCCAACTAACATGCATATGCAGTGAACGAGATATCACATGAGACAGTATTCATCCTAAGTATGCGGGAACTACTCTGCCGAGCCAGAGCAGTACACACAAGAACCTTCTACAACCACCATCATGCCAGATCAACACTCAGTCAACATCTATTACCTGCGGCACACCGCTCTCATCCAATTGCATCTTATCAACTTCCGGCTGTTTTTCCTGGTCTGAAACACAAACTCCCCTGACCATGCCTGTATCACTTTCGCCAGCCCATCCCACGGCCCATCGCTAGGCGTGCGACCAAATATGTACATAATCATAAATTCATCACTCATTATTGGGATACTCCTGGCCTTTTACCAGGATCACCACTGTCAGCGTTGCCGCGTACGCTTCACGAATAGCACATGCCAT